TGCCCCGTATATACCCGTCGATGTCGAAGGTCACGCGTCGTCAGTGAGGCATGTAAGCGCTTTGAGGATGAAAGTCTAGACATGTGTATGTGTATGTTCAGGCTTAACGTTACGAAAGCGATTCTAAATGTAACGTTCCAAAATCCGCGTGCATGCAAGTTAAAACAAAATCGACCAAGCTCAGCAACAAAGCTTAATAAGGAGAAAAGGATGATCATCGAAAGACATACTTATGTTGTGTGACATATATGTTGCAAATGACATGAAAATATAATTTACACAAGAAACGATTTATGTTTTAATTTAATTTGTTTCGCGACGCATATGTAGAAATTTCAATATGCCGTAACATTGCCCCGTTGATTTTGCGCAATCGTCCAAGTTCTCAAATCGAACCTGGCAAAGTTTCTGTTCTGTAGAGAAGCGACGCAATCGAAGAATCTATCCAAACGGCGTAGAACGTACAAACTACTTTAAAGCGAACGACGTGGAAATCGCCGTTACGTCCGCTCGTGTAGAACCGGTACAACTTTTACGATCGTGCGGGGTGTAACATGAAGCGAAATAGAAAAACAAGAGACAACTCTCCTCCTCGTACGTATATAGGACCGCGCGTCACTCGGAGTTTAGAAGAACGCGGACTTTGAGAAAGAGCAAGCGTGACTGGCCTGCGAAACAGACTCCAAGTTTATTTCGCAGTGACGGCCATCCCGCTCACAAATCATCCGACACGATAAATACTGCCCACCGTAGCAAGCATGCTACGCGACAGTCTTTACTCGAACTTCGGAGCAGCATAACGCTCCGTGATGTTATCGGGAAAACTTGCGCGACTTCTCAGGTTTCGACTTCCATATTGTGCGGCTGAATGCAGTGTAAAGCTGAAACTGCAGCCTTATTAGATAAAACGTGTTCTCGTTAATAATATCTTCGACATTACTGTGATTTTCTGTGATTATTATGACATTTGTGTGTGTAGTACAATGGACATTCTTTAGATCTTGTGTTCTTGGTTTTGATTTTTTTTTAGCGGCAAAAATTGTTCAACAGAATAAGAACTTTTATTTCATCGGTCAATTTCGACGGTTGGAGCAAAATTTCAACGTCGATTGATGATTCCGCGGCTTTGGTCTCTTGGAAAAACAATGCTGGGACGGCAAGTGAATCCATTGGCAAGTCAACTCAATTTCGTGCAGAACGTTAATGTTTTTCTGGACCGGGTCGCGTTGGTACTCTCTAGTCCGCTGCCGCTTCGTTTCCGCTAATAAAATAATCGTAGCCAGCGGCGGGCACGACATGAGTGTGACAGTCGGCAGTCGGTGAGGCGGATACCGTAGACGTCACCAGAGTTATGCGTGACCGGGCTGCGAAACCAGCCGTGGGGTTTATTTGTAGCGAATGCGAGTGGTACGCCCTGGTCACGAACCGTAGAACCGTAGAACCGGAAGCGGCACAGGCTCCTGGTAATCCCGTTGCGATCCACGCTCGACGCTCGACTCGCGCGGATACTCTCTATGGTCGAGTCGCGTTATATACCGGTAGGAAAAACGTGGCTTGAAAAAAGAGAAAGAAAGGGGTGGGCAGATAGAATGGGGGGCGTGCTCTTTTAAACTCCACGGGTTTCGGGGTTAAGTGAAAAGTCGTGTAAAGACCACCACGGGAAGATCCGCACTAAAAATTACGCGAAAGCACTATCCAGAGACAGAAATAGATATGGGAAGTGACTTTTCGATCTCGGTATCGCCAGATCTCGTTTTCATTCGGCAGCGATTTTTAATGAATTTAAGATATATCTATAACAATAAGAATCAATTCAATTTAAATACTTAACTGGAATATATTTTCTGACAAATTGTGGATTACTATTATTATCGATGTATTTACTTCTCCTTATATTATGCTGCATATTATTACATTAATAACATTGATAATGTCATTTTGAATAAATCAATAGTTGTTTCTAACAAAAGTAAAAAAAGATAGAAACCACCTTATTCTGTCGCCATTACATGTTTCTTTAGCTTGGATTAGATTAAATATCGAAAGCTTATTATTGTAATACAGCCAATCTGGTTAAAGGTGCTTTTCCATTTTTAAAGAATTCCTCAGGCAAATATGCCTGAGAGATATGGGTTGCGCGAATATTAAATAATATTTTCCGTTCTATTTACGAAATTAATGGATCGGTGAAGCATATCTTGCATATAATCGAATATGTAGCCGTATTATTTGTCAGGCTAGATGAATATATTTGGATCATAGCTTGTCATGGCGGTGCAGTGGCAGTCTATTCCATCAAGTAATCGGATATTCTTGATCCTTTGATCCGAGTAGGTGCGCCATTACCCACAGAGATACTGTTCAGAAATTCTCAAAATTTTTTATATCACAATAAATTACTTCTAATTATCAAACGAGCATACTCGTTAAATGAGAGAGCCACTCTAAAATAAAATAAAATGAGATAAATCGTCTTAAATTCTCAAATATTGTCCCATTCAAGAATCATAAATTGATCGGACGCTTTTTCTAACCGAGAAAAGCGATGTCTATTTGATGTTTCGTGCTTTTAGCCAATAGTACGATTGTCGAACAAAAGAATGATCGACATTTTGGAACGATCGCCGCTTATCTTTTCTGTTGACTCTTCCACGCGATTAATACGGATACGGAAGCACGATGACGATGCGACAATATGATAGTTAATAATAACATTTTCTTTACTCGTCGTAAACAATTTATCAATCTTTCTGTGTCGCGCGTTTTATCGATCTTCCTCGTGTACAAAAGCGCGAGGCGAGAACTTATAGGAGGTACTTGGAGAAGAAAGGAAGTCAATAGATAAGCGGGTTAAGAAGGCTGGAAGGAAGTGAACAGCGGGAGTCGCGATACCGAGGAGTTGCGACGGTCGATAGAAAATCGCGATTCAAATTGTTTTTCGCCGCGCTATCGTCGAACAGCGGCGAGCGTTTAATCGCACATAACCCGATAGTTAAAATGATTTAATGCCGCGAAATACCTCATCGTAACGTCGCGCCTGCTCCATTCATACTGTCCTCTGAAAGGAGGAAGAGTTTAAAGTTTCCTTAAAGTTGGCTTTTTGACACAGCATCAATATTTTCCTGTTTATCGCTAGAGCCCATAGACGTGTTCCTGGCTACACGATATATAATATATCTCTTAAGGCCTTAAGAAACTACTACCGGAGCGCAATTTCGAGCTCGCCATATGCTTGGCAAGAGAGAGAGAGAGAGAGAGAGAGAGAGAGAGAGAGAGATAACGAAAGAGCAAGACAGCGAAAGCGGAAGAAGGTCAATAGAGAGATAAGCCACTAGGGAAGAGGCGAAGGAAACAGATGGTCAAGGAATAAGGGGTCACGAAATAGAGGGGACAGGAAGGCGAGAGGAAGAAATGAAGGGTACCAACGGAGAAACAGAGGCAAACGGAAACGAGGGTTACTTGACGAAACTTTAACGGTATCGCGGAACAGAAGATAGACTAGAAATGAGGAAGACGGCAAGAAGAGGAAATAGC